AGCCGGCTAGCGGGCGGCTAGGCGAGCCCAAAAAGCAGCTCTTGGCCGGGGAGAGCGCCAGGGAAGTGTCTCCACTCACCCTCCGGCAGCCGGGTGATGTGTGTTGTTTTAATACAAAACCCCCAAATTAAATTAGCACGTGCACACACACACACACACAAAAAAACCCCCAGCGATGGAAGGGAAGAGCTCCTTTTATTTTCATGACAAGCGTTTTTACAAAGTTAAAAGCAAGATACAATGTGTTTCATATCCTGTCCTTTAAACTTGTCAACCCCATGGTTAACAGGCCCCAGCCCGCTCCCCTCAAGGCCCCGTGGTGCTCCTGGCCCTCAACCTTCCGGGCGGTGAAAAGTCATTTATTACTGTTCCTAGCTTACAAGAAAAATAATCCATTCCAGATAAGCGTAGGAAATTCCAAGAAAACCACAAAAATTACCGAATGAGCGGATTATTATTTTTATTTTTGATCGGTGGTCCAGCGCAACCTTGCAGATTGCTGACCTCTAAATTGCTGTCGCCTCTAGCCAAGTCTGGTTAAAGACATAAAAAAATGCTCCTCTCTATCCATTTGCAAACATCTGAACACACAGAAAACATCCACAAATGCAAAAAATCAGTTCCCTAGCCATGAGGAACTTAAATTTAAATTGCAGAACAAGATGGTGTACAGGCTAAATCTTCCCCGTTCTTTCCCATCCTACTTGTGAAAAACAAATATGCTGAGCATCTGTATTCAACACCACAATTCTCTAATATTAAAGGAAAATATTAACCAGATCTAAGCTTGCCATAGAAATAACTCAAAAATTACTACGATGGGAATGTTTATGCTAAATACTTTCTGTACAGACATATCTAATTCATATTAGTCATAAACAGCCTCTGTAGGAGACTGCAGCCTTTTTCAGAGTTGCTGTCTTCCTAGTCCTCTTTTGTACAAAACACGGTATTAAAAAAATGTCATGTCCCTTAATTTTAATGGCTGAAAGAGACTGCTGTTGCTTAACTGTAAAGCACACATTATAAATTCGAAGTCAACATTCAGTACCAATTAGAAATAACTAATAATTTGTAAAAAAGTTGGCTGACAGTGGTTTGTGTCTTTACAAATTAGTATTTTTGCAGCAAATATAAAGAGGAAACGAGTCAAAGTACTTTTGCACAGAAAACATCTGCGACCTTAATGATTCTACACCACAGTATGCCTTCTGGAATAAAGAGCAGTTGCATTTATTTAACAATAGTGACATTGCAGTTGGTCCAGTTACTCAACAATGTTCCTTACTTACGCAGTAATATTTGCCTGTTCCTCTAGTGTCAATTGTCTGTTAGTATTATAGCATGTGTTGATAGCATTAACTAATAGGCTTTGCACAGTTTGTTGAAGTTAAATGCCAAGAAGTATTATGCTCTCAGGACTTTGTTATTTCTTCCCATGCCTTTATGGGCATACATCCTGCAGTTCTTACTGTATTTATCATTAATCTTTGCTGTCCTGTACTGTATTATATTTATTCACAAACAGCCTGAAACACCAGGACAAATTTTTAAGGTGCCTTAACTGACCTCTAAAGTGAGGTCTTGATCTCTAAACCCCAATTTATTAAAATGCTATTTTTCATTTCCAAGCTTTTCTGTGCACAGTCTTTAAATTGGGCATGCAAATAATGTATATAAGCAACTTAGATCATGATTTGACATGGATGATAATATGCTGGCTATGAAAGCATAGGTCTCATGTTAATAATTGCTTCTGAAATGTGATTCTGCCCTCCAAAATCTAAGAACAAATGAATAACTCTTGGCTCCTTTTTGCTTCAGTTAACATCTGTATTTGAAATTATATGCAATGATTATGATATTTCACAATGATTGCAATTTATGGTGTAGTTTATGCACCTAAAGAGGCCTACAGAACTGGGTAACTCTAACTTAAGTCAGTAAGAATGGGAATGGCAGGACTCAATATTCTGTATTAGATAGCCATAAGTGAATGTATTTTATGGTGGGAAGTAAAACAGAAAGATGCTGCCTAATGGTTATAGTTATTGTAAACATTCTCATCTTTCCCTTCTATAAAATAAAACAAAATAAAATTGCCATAAAGTGCTCTGGAAGGCTAAATAACCCAGAAGTGCAGAGTGGGACTGAGAAACCTGCTCCCATATTTTCCCCATTTTAAATATAGCAATAAGAGAAAAAAAAAAAATCAGAACACTTGCTTGTCTTTAATATCCATCAAAACTTTAAAATAATTAAGTAATCAGTTTGCAGAATTTGCGTAGAGTGGCTTTTGAGCAACCTACTAAATTAACTATTTGGTTCTGTTTAACTACTAAAAGTTTTATTTATTTCCTGTATACTGCATGCAAATACTAAAAGCATCCTTGAATAGCAACATGTACCAACCACCTAAGAATCATAGCAGTACTTGTCAAATCTATGCATTTAAAAATAATTAGCTACTCACCTGCTAAAACACTAAGAAAAGTTAAGTTGTTAAAATAACTTTATAGTTGGGGGTGAGCTGCTTTTGAAGCATTCAGTGGTCACATTTTCAGACTTTTTCTGTAACCATAAAAGGTAGCAAATTTTAAGTGAAAGATGAAGTTCCCCAAGAGTAACTTGGTTTTAAACAGTGAGGGCTTTAACTGAAAAGAAACCTATCACCCATCACTCAGGAAGGGATCCGTGCTAAAACTGCAAGAGCTGGTAATACCACAACAAAGCCCATTTTCTCTAGCCCTGACCCAAGTAAGTATTCACAATTAAACAGGGATTACTGGAGTGAATAAATCCTGCAGGGCTGGGCTGAAAAACGCTTCTTACTCTTCAGGGTTTTGCTGTGCATAACGATCTTCTCTGTTTTCTTCTGTGAAAATACCTTTTACTTCTGTGCTTTTTATTTCCGTGTGTGAAGATGATTCAGCTTCTGGCTTTCCTTCACCCTCAACAGCCTCTGTATCTCCCATGACCTGTATGGCACTAACCTTGCCCTGCTCTGGCACCAAGGAAACTGGCATGTCTAGCAGTCCTGGTTTTGGGTTTTCTGTATCCAAAATGGGCACTTGTGTTGTGTCTGCATTTTC